GCCGGCGCGGTGATCGCCGAGGACGGGGGCTGGGAACCTGTCAGGGGTTGTGCTTGTTCTCGCCTCCCCCGTGAACCCCAGTTGACCTGCGTTGGAGGGGCGCAGGGCCAGGTGGAGACCCCGGGGGCTTCGTGAGGGTCGGGGCTGCCAGGGCGGAAGGGCGTGTAAACAGCCTGTCTGGCCTCTGTCCCACCTGGCTTGTGACGTACCTGCTCGGCTTCTCCCACCCAGCTGGTCTAGCCGGATCCGGGTGGCGATCGTTGACTCTGTACGCCTCCTCTTGCTGTCTGCGTTTGGCCGCTTCTCGCTGCAGCTGTTCTCTGGTCCAGCACGTTTTTATCATCAGGTTGCGACTTGTTAGATATCATTCCTTGTGGATTTTCTTGTTGTTACGTGTGAAGCACAGGGGATGAACTGATTATAATTTTATTAGCTTTCGGTAGGGCGATATTTGGGTGAGTTGGTGCTTATTTAGGCCTTGGTTCTTGGGATTTGCAAGAGAGGAATGCCTCATGTTCTTTAAAAAATCAAGTAGGCATTTAGACTTGATCTGACTCACCTGCCAGCTGAAATGGCTTGCTATTGAGTAGATGCTCTAAAATTAGGAGAGAGGTGTTAAAATGTAATTTTAAAGGAAAGGTGAGATAAGTAAAAAAAAACCCCAAACCATGGAGCTATGACTTTATGTCAGAGAATAGCTTTTACTGTCTTGCACAGAATTTTGGAAAGAGAGTCCTTTGGAAGGGGTCTTTTGAATCGGGACACCTTCCCAGATCCCTGTTGCAGATAAGAAAACCGAAGCCCAGAGAATCGACTGCATTTGCTCAAGGTTACATTGCTTTGCATTCTTAGTTCACTGGTGACTTTTTCTCTTTAACAAGTTGCTTCTAGTATTGACGTTTAGAGGATTTAGTTTGAAAGTCCTTATTAGAGTCACATTAAACTGTCAGCTGCTCTGGCAGTTTCATGGTCATACTACTGGAAATTTTTTATTTAGGCTTTCTTTTTACCTTTTCCAAACTTTCTTTACCTACAAATATTCTCTTAGGTACCTTTACTTCTTATACTGTGGAAACTGTTTTTTTTCTTTTATTGAGTGGTCAACTTTATATTTTTATATAAAGTTGGAAGTGGACTTTTGTACTCCCGTTCTGGTAATTGTCATCCATTTTTATTTACTCAAAAGTTATGACTTTTGAAAGGAAAGAAAATAATATATTTTAAGTTAATATTGTAATACATCTGTCTGCTGTGTCATGAGTAAGTCACTTATAAGAAAGCTCCTTTGCTTTTTCCACATTGTCCTGGATCAAGGTTGTTAAATAAAATGTGACAGAAAAGATTAGGGTTAAAAAAAAAAAAGACTGCTTACACAGCATTCTGTCCTGTCTCTTTGTCTATCACACTAATTTCCTTCAGTGAAATGAGTCTATTCTAAGACGACTTATTTAGAATTATAATAGAGTACGTGGAGTATCTTTTTTTTTTTAAGATTGGTTAGATTGGGATGTTGCCACATAGTTGGTTTTCAATAAATGTTTATTGACTGAATTAGATGAGAACATCCATTAAACTGGATTTTTGGTTCCTCCTTTCAGTGTTTAAAGTATATCACAAGTATGATGAGGTAGGATATTCAATTCCAAATGAACTTTTTTTATGTCTTTTCTGTATATTACTATATGTTTTCTAATATTTTAATAACAAATATTCTACAAACAAAATTTTAAAGGCAAGTATATGCCAACTGTATTGATAGAAATATTTTTTTAAAGTATAAATCATAGAGGAAGAAATTTTTAAAAAATGTTTAAAAAATTGATTTCAGAGAGGAAGGAAGAGGGAGAGAGAGAAACATCAATGATGAGAGAAGCCTCAATATGCCTCCTGCATGCCCCTACTGGGTATCCAGTGCCCAACCTGCAACAGGGGCCTATGTCCCTACCCAGATCAGACCATGACCTCCTGGTTCATGGGTCAAAGCTCAACCACTTAGCCACACCAGCCAGACGAGATTGTTAAAATTATTCTTTAATAATATTTATTTATTTAAAAAAAATTTTTTTAAAAAAATATATCTTTATTGATTTCAGAGAGAGGAAAGGAGAGGGAGAGAGAGAGTTAAAACATCAATGATGAGAGTTGAAACAACACCGATTGGCTGCCTCCTGCACGCCCCGGACTGGGAACCGGCCGCAACCGGGGCATGTGCCCTGACTGGGAATCGAACTTCGATTTCCTGGATCCTAGTCTGATGCTCAACCACTGAGCCACACCTGGCCGGGTGGGCAACTATTAAAAACAAAACATTTTAAAACACTTAAAAAGGTATACCCATCACCTACCTTCAGAATTAAAACATTACTAATATAGTTGAATCCCTCTGGAATACATTCTTCTGTCTTCTACCCACTCCTCCCAACCAATAATCATCATCATTCCTTTTCTTTATACTTTTACTATATATGCATTATATCCATAAGCATGCTTTGGACTTTCTTAAACTTTTTTTCACGTGGTATCATACACTGTATTCTTCAGTTTGCTCCAGTTTTGCTCAAGACATTGGGAGACTTACCCATGTTGATTGATAAAGGGTTATAGGTCATTTGTTTATAACTACTTTCTCCCCTATTTTTATCTCAGAGACATTTATTGAACACATACTATGTATCAGGCATTGTGCTACCTACAAAGGATACATAGGTAAACTTTGCTGAAAAATCAGTCAAATGGAAGGTTCTTAATTACTTAGGAGAATGTCTACAAACTGGATTATCTACAGAGGAATTCAGAACCAATGCAAGATGGTCCACAAAAACATCCCCCTTATAAGAAGGCTGTTTTATTTGGTGGCTATTCCATTTTTGATGGAGCTCATTTTGATTTAGATATTTAAAACACCATTTGGAATTGGAATAATAATTTATAATGTCTGTCTAAAATAACACTTGTATTACTACTGACACTAGCTCTTCTCTAGGTAAAAATGGATTAAGTTTTATTGTACCCGGAGATTTTTAAGTGTAACTTTTTGAGAAGATATTTAACCACCATAAACAAAAAAGTGATAGACTTATCTCCTCAAGTGATACATGAAAGGTTTATGGGAGCCATATTGAAGGATTTATGGTTGAAAAAAATGTAACTTGTAGTTCAGTTAAATAAAATCTTGATGTTCATTTAAAAACATTGAATAAAATCCCTTTAACTTATTTACCGATAATCACAGTGCTTACAGTATGAGGACTTTTCCTCTCCTCCAGTGTAACTTTGGGTTTTTATTAAGAATTGAAATTAATCATAGTATTGCATCTTGTATTTTAACCATGAATTTTTTTTATAGGATTTCTATAATTGGCCTGATGAATCCTTTGATGAAATGGACAGTACACTAGCTGTTCAGCAGGTAATAACAATAAACTAAGCAGTTGATCTTCCTTTTAAGTATTCCTATATCTTTTAGCACAAACCAGAATCCATGGAATTAATAGAATGGCCGACCATTTAAAACTTTTATCAACCTTCATTTTGTTTTAAAATGGCGTATTAAACTATAATCAAACTTAAATCAAGACATGAAATTTTTATAGGGATTGCATAGAACATGTATTGCTTTGGGTAGTATTGACATCTTAATATTGTCTTCCTACCTATGAATGAGATGTCTTTCAATTCATGTAAGTCTTCTTTAATTACTTGCAGCAATGTTTTGTAGTTTTCAGTCTACAAGTATTTAACCTTATTTAAATTTATTCCTGGGTACAGTTGACTCTTGAATAACGTGGAGGTTAGGGGCACAGTTGAAAATTCACTTGTAACTTTCGACTCCCCCAAAACTTAATTACTGATAGCCTATTGTTGACTGGAAGCCTTACCGATAACTTGAGCAGTCGGTTAGCACATATTTTGTATTATTTGTATTATATATACGGTGTTCTTAGAATAAAGTAAACTGGAGAAAAGAAAATGTTAAGAAGATCATAAGGATGAGAAAATATTTTTACTGTATTTATTGGAAAAAATCTGCGTGGAAGTGGGTTCAGGGTCTATATTTTATTCTTTCTAGTACTTTTTTTTTCTCCTCTAAATATGTCTTTATTGATTTCAGAGAGAGGCCGAGAGAGGGAGAAAGAGAAATAAAAACATCAATGATGAGACAGTCATTGATTGGCTGCCTCCCGCACGCCCCCTACCTGGGATTGAGCCCCGAACCCGGGCATATGCCCTGACTGGGAATCGAACCTCGATCTCCTGGATCATAGGTTGATGCTCAACCGCAGAGCCACGCCTGCTGGGCTTGAATACTAGTGTAGATGGATTTGCTTTCTTAATTTCCGTTTTGGATTGTTTGTTGAAGACGTATAGAAACACAGCTGATTTTTGTAAACTGATCTTAATATCCTGCTACTTTGCTGAATTCATTTATTAGCTTTGCTGTGGATTCTTGGGATTTCTGTAAGGATCATGTACTCTGTGAATAAAGATGGCCTTTCATTTAATTTTTTTTCTTGTCTAATCTGACTAGAACTTCAGTACAGTGTTGAATGGCAATAATTGAAACAGGTGTGTTTGTCTCATTTCTGATTTTGGAGGAAAACCTTTCATTCTTTCACCATTGAGTATGATGTTACCTGTGGCTTTTTCATAAATGCCCTTCATCATATAGAGGAAGTTCTCTTCTATACCTAGTTTTCTGAGTGTTTTTATCATGAAAAAGTTTTGGATTTTGGCAAATGTCTTGTCTGCATGAATTGAGATGATTGTGTGTTTTTCCCTTTGTATTTTAATGTGGTGTATTAATACATTGAAATGGTGTACATTGATTTTTTTTTTTTAATGTTGAACTACCCTTTATTCCTTGCAGCTTTCTTTTTTTTTTTAATCCTCACCTGAGGATATTTTTTCCATTGCTTTCCAGAGAGAGTAGAAGGCCGGGGCGAGGAGAGGGAGAGAGAGAAACATTGATGTGAAGGAGACACATTGGTTGGTTGCCTCCCGCATGCACCCCTATCGGGGTCTGGGGATTGAGTCTGCAACTGAGGTACATGCCCTTGGCCAGAAATGAACCTGGAACCCTTCAGTCTGCAGGGCGATGCTCTAATCACTGAGCCAAACTGGCTAGGACTGCCAAACAATCGTATTTTAAAGAATTCAAGAGGAGAATGGTCTATTATATTTATACCCAAATATTTATAATTTCGGTTGCTCTTGGTATTCTAAGTTTCCTCTGGTATTATTTTTTCATTCTGTCTGAAGTACTTCCTTTAGCAATTCTTGTTGGTCAGTCTGCTGGCTAGGAATTCTCCTTAGCTTTCTTTCATTTGACAATATATTTTTATTTCTGGAAGGTGTTTTTGTTAGATATAGAATTCTGGATTGATGGTTCTTTCTGCACATTAAAAATGTGCCATTTCCACCCAGCTGGTGTGGCTCAGTTGTGTGAGCGTAATCTTATGCACCAAGAGATCACCCGTTCAGTTCCTGGTCAGGGCACATGCCTAGATTGTGGGCTCAGTCCCCGGTGGGGGGCATGGCAGTAGGGAGCCAATCCATGTTTTTCTCTCATTAATGTTTCTGTCTTTCTCTCCCTCCCTTTCTCTGTCCCTTTCTCTCTAAAAATCAATAAAAACATATTTCAAAATAAAATAAGTGTGTCACTTCCTCCTGTGTTTTATGCGTTCTGATGAGAAAGCTGTAGTCATTTGAATCTTTATCTATAGGTCATATACCTTTTTTTATCTGATTTCTTTATCTTTAGTTTCTGGCAGTTTGATTATGTGTGTGGGCATGGATTTCTTTGAATTTTCCTGTTTGGTGTTTACTCAGCTTTTTTAAAATTGTGATAAATATATAAAAGTTATCATTTTTGCCATTTTAAGTATACAGTTTTGTGGTGTTAAGTACATTCATATTGTTATGCAACCATTACCACCTCCATCTATCTCAAGAACTTTTCATCTTTCCCAACTGAAACTCTGTACCCATTAAACAGTAACAACTCCCCATTAGCCCATTCAACTTTTTGACTTTGTAGGTTTATGTCTTTTCCTAACTTGAAACTTTTTAGCCATTATTTCTTCAGATATATTTTTTAGCACCTCATTCTTTACCTTCTTTTTGTGGGACATTGATGGCATGACTTTTAAATCCTTTCTTATTGTCTCACAAGTTTCTGAGGCTCTGTTTATTGTTGTTTTTATTTCTGTTGTTCAGATTGGATAAATGCTATTTATCTATCTTCAAGTTTATTGACTCTTCGGTGTGCCATCTCCATTCTGCTATTGAGTCCAGTGAGTGTTTTACTTTGATGGTTGTATTTTTCAGTTCTAAAATTTCTATTTGGCTCCTTATACCTCTCTTTGCTGATACTTTTGTTTTGAGTGTTTGTAATTTTACATTCAAGCATTTTTGTAATAGCTGTTTTAAAGTCTCTGTCAGGTAATTCCAACATCTGTGTCCTCTTGTCATTGGTGTCTTGTGATTGTTTTTTTTTTCCCCATGATAATTGAGATTTTCATGTATTCTTTGTATGCCAAGTAATTCTGGATTATATCCTGGACATTTTGAATATTATTATGTTTATACTCTGGTCTTGTTTAACCCAATGGAGAATGGGATATTTTTGTCATAGAAGGTATTTGACCTGGTTAGAAACAGGCTGCAAGTTCTAACCGAACTGAGGTTCCAATGTCAGTTTGGTTTTCAAAACCTTTGCATTACTCCTTGAATCTGTTTTGTGTGTGCACCAACTTGTACTCAGCCTAGGTGGAGGTATATCCATTAGCTCAGTTCTCAAAGTCTGTCAGATTAGGATCAGATTCATGCATGCACTCATACACAGATCAGGGTTGCGCCCAGGAGTTCATAAACAGCTTTATGGGATTACTTACTTTAAAAAAAAATCTTTTCATTGGTTTTTAGAGAGAGAGAGAGAGAGAGACAGACAGACATCGATCTGCTGCCTCCTACACAGCCCCTACTGGGGATAGAGCCCGAGACCTGGGCATGTGCCCTAATCCGGAATCGAACCTGTGACCTCTTGATTCCTGGGTCAGTGCTCAACCAACTGAGCCATACCAGCCAGGACTGTGGGATTACTTTTTTGAACTTCTTTCTCTCTAATATCTCTCTGATACTTTAAGGTCCTACTGCATTGGCCCTCCAACCTGAAACTCTTAACTGGAATTGTGCTGCAGTTGTGGGAAGGCAAAGAGAGAAAAAGAAACAGGGTTATCCCCGGCCAAAGTGGCTCAACGGTTGAGTGTTGACCCAGTAACCAGGAGGTCACCGGCTCTATTCCCAGTCAGGGCACATGCCCGAATTGCAGGCTTGATCCCCGTAGGGGACGTGCAGGAGGCAGCCTATTGATGATGATGTTTCTCTCTCATCATCCCTCTCTCTGCCTCTCTCTAAAAGTCAATAAAAACATATTTTTAAGAAAGAAGAAGAAAAAAAGAAAAGATACAGGGTTATATCTCAGCAGTAAATGGAGAGGAAAGGTTCTGTTCCTCAGAATTTTGTCTTGCATTTTTGTGTTGCCAGCTGCTTTTGCTGCCCTGTAGAATTGTCTCAGGCCTAGGCAATGGAGAAAAAGGAAGAGCGGGGGAAATCCAGGTGATTTTTTTCTACTCTTTTTGAGCTTTAGGAGTTCCTTTTTCTACCCCTTAAGCCAGAAGTAAATAGTTTCTCCTGTATCTATCTGCATCAGTAGTGGTCATTTTTGGGGTTTCATCCCTAATTCAAGCCAGAGGATATCAGAGAGGAAAAGAAACACAGCAAACTTACTGCCAGTTCCTTGGTACTTTGAATTCTGATGGGTTTTTTTTTTCTGCTTCTCTTTCTGATATTTGCTTTTCAGAGACCTCAAATAGCTGCACTGTGTGTTCTCTTTCTTTTCTGGTTTTTTTTTTTTTTTGCTAATCCTCACTGGAGGATATTTTTTACATTGGTTTTCACAGAGAGTGGAAGGGAGAGAGAGAGAAACATTGATGTGAGAGAGACTCATTGACTGGTTGCCTCCCACAGGCACCCTGATTGGGGCTGGGAACTGAGCCTGCAACTGAGGGTACATGCCATTGGCCGGAATAGAACCTGGGACCCCTCAGTCTGAGGGCCAGTGCTCTAACTACTGAGCCAGACAGGCCAGTGTGAACTGCACTATGCATTCTGACCAGATTTTTATAGTTTTGTTCAGTGGGAGAGGTTGATGTGTTTACTCCATCTTACCCAAAACTGGAAATAATGAAATGCTTTTTTGCATGGTGTTTTATTACTATGTACTTTACTTTTCCCAAATGATTTCTAAAAACTACTTTAGGAAAAGTCTTATGTAAAATATAGTACTAGATTATTATAATTACTAATAATTATAGCCCACAGGAATAAACCACTAGGAAGATATGTTTCTGCCTTTTTCATAAGATAAGGAAGAAAGATTTCATACCTCCTTTTGAATTTAGTTTTAAAACTGGTGTAATATATTCTTGTAGAGGAGATGTGCAAGGCCTGGGAAGTGAGTGTATACTAATAGCGTTAGCAGAGTTTGATTAGGTGGTAGTATCTGGTAGATGTGATGTGTTTGGAAACTTACTGAAAAAGATTCTCTTCAAGAGTAGTAGTAAATTAGCAAGTTCTTAGAAACATAAAGAGCACTTTTTATGAGGTTGTCTTCTGGATTTTTCTGCAGAATTCATTAAAGATTTCAAAGCCTGTTTCTTAAATAATAGTTGTTCAGTTTACCTAGTTTCAAAAACTCTTAGCATTAAAATTCACCAGCAGAAGTTTTAAGTGGTAATAGTACTGTTTTTCCATTTAACTGAATTATTAAGATTAAAGATAATGTTGAAAAGTTACTTAAGAATGTTTCAACTTTTCATGATAGAGCTAGTTCTTGCTTTTTTCCTATTTTCATATTTGCCCATCTTATACTGCACATAGTTTAGATTTACATTACATTATTATGTGTGCCAGGACAGAGAAAACATGTTGCATTTTGTAAACCTTTAGTTTTCAAGACATTTGTGAGGGTGATTAAAATAAATTATCACAATGAACAGAAATTGCTGATAGTAGTAACTCAGAAACAATGTAAAAATTTCCATATCCCAAAAGTTATATGTAGTGAGCATAAGGACATTTATTTTTCTTAGCTCATTTTATAATGATAGCTGCCCTCTTTTTACATAAAAGTATCAAGGACTCATTTCAGGGGAAAAAATCACATTTTTGTTTTATTTTTGTAAGTTAAGGATTTCTTTTTATGTTTTATATAAACTCTCATTAATAAAAGGATTCTGGAGACCTTAAAGAATGACAGCTTGCAATTCCATTAATAACAAAATTTAATAAGTAAATTCAGTCACCAAATATGTGGTTAAAGAATTAATATTGATTATGAGCAAACCATTTTGCACAAAATATATTTCTGTGTCTAAAATATGATTTGGGGATCACCAAAGGATGGAGAAGAATCGGGGTCTATAATATATTTTTGGTAACTTTTCTCATCCCTATCTCGATATGGCTTTAACATTTCAGGTTTGCTTATCTTCATCCTTGACTTCAACTACTGTAGTTTAGGTGATCAGTAAACATTTATTAAAAACCTGTGTGCCAGGTGCTAATACCAAAGTTCAAAATAAAATTAAGTCTGTTTTATATTTGAGAGACACATGAAAATAAGTGTTAAGTTTGAATAATGCTAATAGCAACTCTGTAGGGTGCACAATGGGAGCAGGAAAGATAAAAGTGAATAGACAAATTGCTAATTTAAATTATACACATGACAGCCTGGCCCGGCGTGGCTCAGCGGTTGAGCGTCGACCTAGATCCAGGTGATTGAGGTTCAATTCCCGATCAGGAAACATGCCCAGGCTGTGGGCTCGATCCCCAGTCGGAGGTGTTCAGGAGGCAGCCGATCAGTGACTCTCTCATCATTGATATTTCTCTCTCTCTCCCTCTCCCTCCCTCTCTCTGAAATCAATAAAGACATTTTTTAAAAAAATTATACACATGACAAATGTAGGAAATCAGAGGGAGTTCTGTGAGGATTAGAATAATTGGGGAAGATGAGTGTGTTGGGAGAGAGGGAATTTGGAAAGAATTGTAGCATGGAATTTGAGGTGGCCAGTGGAAAAGGTATAGAATTTAGTTGTTATCTGAGGTGAGAAAGAATCAATTCCATGCAAACATGGAACATTAGGATGAGGGTCAGAAAATCAAGGAGAGCTGTTTTATAGGAATTAAGGAGTCATTCAGAGCTTTTGAGCAACCTTTTGACATGAGAGTGATACTCAAGAAAGATTATCTGAAAATAGGAAAAATAGATTGGCTTAAGAGAGCCCTGTAGTTACTAAGTTTTTATAATCAGGCATTTTAGCCTAATCTAGCCTAATCAAATTTTAGGGTATTTATTATTTATTTATTTATTTATTTATTTATAAATATATCTTTATTGATTTCAGAGAGAGGAAGGGAGAGGGAGAGAGAGAGATAGAAACATCAATGATGAGAGAGTCATTGATGGCCTGCGGCCTGCAACCCAGGAATGTGCCCTGACTGGGAATCGAACCCCGATCTCTTGGATCCTAGGTCGATGCTCAATCGCTAAGCCACGCCCGGCTGGGCTTAGGTTATTTAAATCATAGATTGAATGAAACATTAAAAAGATCTGAAATTTAAAGTTTAATTCAATTTAACTTGAAACTGAATCTCCTTGCCTTTTTTAAAATTTAGTTTTTCTGCTAGTCATTTTTATTTTACTTTATTTATCTTACTGACTTTTACAGGGCAAGAGAGAAACATTGATTTTGTTGTTCCACTTATTTATGCTTTCACTGGTTGATTCTTGTATGTGCCCTGACTGGGGATCGACCCTGCAACCTTGGCGTATTGAGACAGCACTCTAACCAGCTTAGTATCTGGCCAGGCTGCTAGTCATATTTTTTGGGCATAATTAACATATGTAGAAATCACCTACTTAAAATATACAATTCACTGGTTTTTAGCATATTAACAGGGTTGTACAACCATAATCCACAATCTGATTTTAGAACATCTTCATCCCCCACCAAAGAAACATCATTCCCATTGGCTGTTTTATCCCCATTCTCCTTTGTCTCTCCCCTTCTCCCAGGAGTCCTAGTCAACTACTAATGCATTTTTTGTCTATTCTAAATACTTAGCAGTAATGGAATCATATAATATTTACCAAAGCTATTTACATTGTCTGTATTTTATGTTCATACGAAAATTATGCTTTGAAGTTTTGATCCTAGTTTCACTCCTGGTAAATACCATATGCATTTTTGTAGTAAATCCTATCCCAAAGAAGTTAAGATGGAGAATAGGTATGGTTACTTCCTTTCTTCTGAGTTACATTAAGTCCTCAGTTAACACTGTTGATAGGTTCTTGAAACTGTGGTGAAACGACGTGTAAGGAAACCAATTTTACCATAGACTAATTAATATAAACAAGAGTTAAGATCCTGTGGCATTTCATCAACATTATATGGTGTTATTCGAGGACCTGCTGTACTGATTTTGATTCTGTACTTTGTTTCCTATTTTGTTTATAACCCAAAAGTTGAACCATAAGAGCAGTTTTTATATATTCAGAATTACATAATTTAGCATAAGATTTACCATATTGTATAATATTTTTAATTAACTATAAGAACCTCTTTGTTTATAGTATATTCAACAGAACATAAGAGCAGATTGTTCCAATATTGACAAAATTCTTGAACCACCTGAAGGCCAAGATGAAGGTGTATGGAAGTATGAACATTTAAGGTAGGTCCTTATGATATCAAAATAGTAATAGTACTTATTAATAAAAATAATCTTTAATATTAATGATTATGAATTATAAATAAAATATGTAACTGCAGATCAAAAAGCAAATTCTGAAGCTTTTATATTTTCAACTTTGATATTTACTGATTGTTTTCTGCAGTTATGGATTTGGGCCTTACTATGGTTTTACACAGTTTTCCTTAGTCATACCTCTTAACCACAAATCCATTATTTCCTTTTACCTACTTGTGAATAGCTGTTTCTCTTTAGAGGGTCATGTCAAGTTCCCAGTATAGGCTTGGTATGATGAGTTACCTATTAACTTCTGTGAACTTCCAGTCTTCCTTTTGGTAAATAGAGATTAATTGTAATCCTGAAGTTAGGAGTTTTGGAGCTTTTCATATCTTTTGAATGAGAAAATTAATGACAAGTGAATGATAATTAATTAGAGTTAACTTTAGAAGCAGCTATATCCTGAATTACTAGGTTGTTTCTTGAAGTTATAAACTTTCTAGTATAAATGGGAGCTGGGATGAGTTGATAGGTTAAATATGGAGAATGCAGAATGCATGTATGTTCATCGGAGTTTGTTACTTTTGAGTTGATTTTAAATTAATAAATATAGTAGAAATATGACTTTTCCCCAGTAAATTAGACCACATTTTCTGTGATGAATGCCTCAATTTGTAGATAAGGTACTTTTAAAATTGATGATGCAGGCATGTTGTCTAGATTTTGCAAAGACATAATGTTTTGTCATAACAGTTCAGCAATTTTAAAGATGCTAAGACTTGTTTGTACTCTGCCAGTTTCTGGACAAATCACTTGACTACTTCATGTAGTTTTTTAAAAATACATCTCAATGTATAATTGCAAGTATGAATATGTAGATACTTCCCCATTCTTATAAGTCAAGATCTAGAACACTTTAATATAATATATCCTCTGCTTTATTTTAATCAGCTTTGAAAATAACAGTCTGATAGGATTAATGATGAAAATAAGTGAGGGTTTTTTTGGTAGCATAATTCATAGTAAGTGACGGCTGATTTTAATTTATTATAAGATTTTAATTTTAGATCTAAGAAAACCTTTTCCTCCCTATTTAACTTAGACTATACAAAACTTACAAAATTTTTCTCATGCATATTTTATTTGTCCTGGTGCTATTGCTTTTACTTTTGTTATTTTTTTTCTAAATATTAGCCACTTTTTTGGTTTTGTATTTATGCATCACATGTATTTTTTTTTTGGTTTATCTTACTGTATAGATCTTTATAGTTGATGAAGAGCATGTGCTTGATGTTACTGATATAAGGCTTAATATGTTGTTATTAGTTAATGCATTTAAGTATATAATGATGTTAATGGAAATTGGGTCATTCGAGATTCAGTCAAATCTTCCACTAGCTCACAATCTGTGTAATTAGGAAAAGATATCCCTTCATTTGAGTGGATGCAGTCTCATGTTTGACTTAGTGAGTAGAGTCACTTAATGACTGGATTTCAGATCTGGCTGTGTCTTTAGCCATACAACTTTATGTGTTAGCCCTGTATTGAATTAACTTGGAGTTGTTAGGTTTGCACTATTTACCACAGATGGTACCTGTAAACATTGCCAAATCAGATAGCTTAATTTTGCTATTGGCCATAAGTGGGTTGAACTACATGGGAAACTTGTTTATTACCATCTGTCTTTCTTATTTTTTATTTATTTTTATTTAAGGAAAAGGGGGTGGGGGATGGGAATATCCAAAGGGAAGGACTACACAACACTAAGCGAAAGGGTATTGGGTCCATGATGGATGCAAAACTGTACTTGGGACATTGAAACAGAAAGCATAGAACAAGCAACAGGAGAACTTAGGCTGGGCTGCTTTGGCTTATTGAGAAGTCAGAGAGAAAAGGAGGTCTTAGAGACAAGTTCAGGGGATAAGCCCAGGAGGAGCTGCTGCTGCCCATTGCTCCCCTGGTTGCAAGTCTAATGGGTCGCCTCAGAGGGAAGAACGGGGATGGAGATGGCGCAACAACCATCAGTCTTTATTACCACTTAGTGGAAAATAACTAAAACATAAAACATTCAGCCTACAGATAAGGGCCAGGAGAGGGTTATGTGGTGATTCAGAAATAATGTTGTTTTTGTAATCTAAGAACAGCATTATTATTGGGCACCTGAAAAGGAAGTAAAATTATAGACAACTGAAAGTTTGAACCTTGTCTTTTTATTTGTTTTCTTCTGTTATAATATACTTTAAAGAAGTAAATAAATATAGTTTTTCTTTTACATATGTGCAAGTTTTTTTCTCTTCTTTCTATTTGGACTCTTATCTATCAATTATTTAGGTTTTAGCTTTGCATTTTTTTAAAATTGATTTGAGACAGTTGGGGGAAGAGAGAGAGAGAGATCTATTTGTTGTTTTACTTATTTATGCATTCATTGGTTGCTTCCTTGTACGTGCCCTGAACCTGCAACCTTGGTGTATCAGGATGACATTCTAACCAACTGAGCTACCTGGCCAGAGCCTTAGCTTTGCATTTAATTTTTTAAAAATATATTTATTGATCTTTTTAGAGAGAGAGGAAGGGTGAAGAAAAGAAAAACATCTGTGTGAGAGTGTAACATCAGTCTCCTGCCCCCTGCATGACCCCTACTGTGGATCTGTGCTCTGGCCAGGAATGGAACTGGCAACCTTTATGTGCATAAAGCAACACCCAACCAACTGAGCCCCACTGACCAGGGCTTAGCTTTGCATTTTTATTTTTATTATTTATTTTTTAAATATGTCTTTATTGATTTCAGAGAGAGAAAGGTGGGGGGAGAGAGAGAGAGAGAGAAACATAAATGATGAGAGTCATTGATCGGCTGCCTCTTGCACACCCGCTGCTGGGGATCAAGCCTGCAACCCAGGCATGTGCCCTGATCAGGAATCGAACCAAGATTGCCTGGATCATAGGTTGATGCTCAACTGCTGAGCCATACCAGTTAGGCAGTTTTGCATTTNTCATAGATTGATGCTCAACTGCTGAGCCATACCAGTTAGGCAGTTTTGCATTTTTAAAAACTAAAGTGTTCTTATTTGTTTGATGGGGAAACACTAGTGATTGACTAATTTGATAGGATTTTTAGAGGGAATGCATTCAGTATTTTGACAGTTATAAAGTAAGTTACCTTTGTGTCATAGAGTATAAGTTACCTTTTCATATCAAGTAACAACTCTGTTTAAAAATGATTATCTCAGTGTCATATAGTTTCCTCCATTGTTCATTTATTCAAAAATATTTTTTGAGCCCTGGCCTGTTTGGCTCAGTGGTTAGAGTGTCGGTCTACAGACTGAAGGGTCTTGGGTTTGATTCCAGCCAAGGGCATATACCTCGGTTGCAGCCTAGATCCCTGGCCCTAATCAAGGTGCAAGCAGAAGGCAACCAATTGATGTGTCTCTCTCTTCCTTCCAATCTTTGAAAAGCAATGGAAAAAATATCCTCCTGTGAGGATAAATAAATAAATATCTCCTGACTACATTTAAAAAAAATTATATTTTTTGAGCACTTAGCAATGTTCAAGAATTGTCGTAGGCGTTGTAATTCTCATTTTGGGAATTTTAGAAGGAAAGTATGTCATGAAAAAATGCCCATGACCTGTTAAGTGACAAAAAAGCAAGTTACAAAATTGTATATAGGATCCCAGTATACTTTAACCTGTGACTATAAAATCAAATTTGCTGTAAACAAGAATCTTTTGGGAAAATGTGGTGGAATTATGGAAGACAGACTTTCTTCTATGTTATGTTTAAAGTTTTTATAAGGAGAATGTTGTTTGTCATCATAACAAAGCTTGTAAAATATGTAGGAGTATAAAAATGTAGTCTTTTCTGTGTATCTGTTTGTATGTGAATGTATAAACGTACATAATTTTATATATAACTGGAATCTTACTGTGAATATAAACACCTTTGCATATCCTTTGCCAACATTTTACTACTCTTCAGTTGCTAATCATATAGAATGTAAGGGTTTTTTTACATATATAGTTTGAATGACATAGTCAAAAAATGTACACTTCCTAAGTGTCTTGGTAAATATGTCTGAAATACTTTTCAGAAAAATTGTACCAATTTCCAGTGTAAAGATGACCAACTTATTGAACTCTGATATTGAACCTTTTTAGGGTCATTAGTTTTGAGTTTTGTGTATTAATTTGTAGGTCTTTGTAGGAAATGTGCCATGTTAATTCATATGGTGTTGATAATGGTGATGAGGGAGAATGGCTGGTACTGTTGGGGTTCTGTTTTTCAAATTAATATTCTAAATGTGGAAAATAGATAAGCCTTTTCATTTATATATTTGAATTTTTAGGCAATTCTGTCTTGAGCTCAATGGACTTGCTGTCAAACTTCAGGTAATATTTTCAAGTTAAAGTTATAATTGAAAGTTCTAATTTCCCCTGTATTTTTATGACTTAATTAATGTGCTTACAAAGACTTATCTAAAATTTCTAATCTAGAATTTTACATGGAAATGTAAAATGATAAATGATAAACTTTAAAATTATTTTACATATTAAGAAATGTAACTTTTTAACAGAGCGAATGCCATCCAGATACATGTACTCAGATGACAGCAACTGAACAATGGATTTTTCTTTGTGCAGCTCATAAAACTCCAAAAGAGGTGAGAATATATCACGTAGAATGACTAATAAAATGGTCATAACATAAATTTCTCCAAGACTATGGTAGACAAATTTTAAGTTCCCTGTTTTGCCATTTGGTTTAGTGTTCTTTGCTGCAAGGTTATTGCCACAGTGGTGTTTTACGATTTCTTATAATTAGTATCATTTTTCATAATTGGGCAATTATGTGGGCTGGAACTCACTTTATGATTCATTGGCTGTCACAGAAAAAGATCAGTCACATCGTGCCAATACCTAATATATAATGGATTAGATACACATGTTCAGGTTTTTGGTTCAGTATAATTTTTCTTTTTTTTTTTTTTTTTACAGTATAATTTCTTTTACTAGGAACAACTATTGGTGATTACTAGTTGATGCTTAGTCTAATAGGTAGAAATGTTACTTTTGAGCTTTTTAACTTTATAGGCCAATATTTTTTCTCTACATGTCATTAATGTTTCTTACTATTAACTTGGAACCCACCATAATGAGTTTTCTTTTCATATTTGGTCCTGCATTGTAAAAGTTATTCATGTTGTTTTCTTCTCAGTTATTGTCAAGGTGAGCGTATAGAAGAAAAATTATTTATGTAATTTTTTTGTTTTAAATAATTGCTTTATATGATATCCTAGTACATACTCAGTTTTCCTTAGTTATCTCAAAAATGTTGTTTACAACTGGTTTATTTAAAGCATGTGTTGCTTTTCCCTTGATCTGCATTCCCTTTTAATCTGTAGTAAATTACTTCTTACTTGACACTGATTTGATTAAACATAATTGGGTTAGGCCAGTCTTGGAATTACCTTCAAATATCATTATATTGACAGACCTCTAAGGCTTGAAGACAAAGGCTTGAAGACATTTGACTCTCTAGTTGCAAAATTAATAAATTCTCCAAAATAAGGAGTATCTGGTACCTGTCTAAGCAAATATATTTGGAAGACTGATTTCATTAGGGGGTGTTACTTTTTTGTGTGTGAGTAAATTGAAGCAGTATTAAACTTGTGCCCTGGCTAGTGTGGCTTGGTTGAACATCATCCCACACACCGAAAGGTCGCTGGTTCAATTCCTGGTCAGGGCATAGGCTCAGGTTTCAGGCCTGATCCCTCTCCTTTCCTCTCTCTCTGTAAAGTCAATAAAAAAACAAAAAAAAAACAGAAAAGAAAAAAAGACAGTCCAATTTTAAAATGAGCAAAAGATATGAATAGACTCTTCTCTAAAGAAGATACACAGCCCTAGCTGGTTTGCTCAGTGGTTAGAGCATCAGCCTGTTGGACTGAAGGGTCCTTGATTCCGGTCAAGGGCACGTACCTCGGTAGCAGGCTTGATTCCCGGCCGTGGTTGAGGCACATGCAGGAGGCATCCAATTGATGTGTCTCTCTCACTTCGATATTTCTCTCTCTCCACTTCCATTCTCTCTGAAAAACAATGGAAAAAATATCCTCTGGTGAGGATTAAAAAAATAAAAGATATACAGCCCTGGACAAGTGGCTTGGTTGGAGCATTGACCTGTACACCAAAAGGTTGCTGATTTGATTCCCCATCAAGGCATACTCCGAGGTTTTGGGTTCAATACCAGCTCAGGGCACGTTCCAGAGACAGTTTAGGGGATTAGAGTGTCGACCCAATATTCCAAAGTTGTAGATTCGATCTCTGGTCAGGGCACATACAAGAAGCAACCAATGAATGCATGAAAAAGTGGAACAAGAAATCAATCTCTTTCACACTTTCTCTCTCTTTCAAAATCCATTTTTAAGAGAGACATCTGTAATACTGTCAATAAAATTTAAAAAAACAAACATTGTGGTAAAATGGAATATTATTCAGCCATAAAAAGGAATTAAGTCTATAGTGTGAGAAATATTTTACAGCATTTTTATATATATATTAAAAACATCAAAATCTAAAAAGTTTTTGAATAAGAAAAAGTAATGAAGTACTGATTCATGCTGCACTATGGCTGAGCCTTGAAAACATGCTAAGTGACACAAAAGGCCACATATTCATTTTTAGGAAATATCCAGAATAGGCAAATCCAGGTAAGACAGAAAGTACATTAGTTGTTGCTTAGGGTTTAAGGAGGAAAGAATGAGAAGTGAATGCTAATTAGTATTGGGGTGATGAAAGTGTTCTGGAATATAGTTAATGGTTGTACAATTTTTTGAATATACTAAAAACTACTGAATTGTGCACTTGTAAAACATAAATTTTAGGCTCTGGCCGGGTAGCTCAGTTGGTTAGATCATCATCCCAATGCACCAAGGTGTTGTGGGTTTGGTTCCTGATCAGGGCACATACAAGAATCAACCAATGAATGCATAAATAAGTGGATTATATATTAATTTAAAAATACTCTCCAAAACTCAATAATTTTTATATCAATTATATGTTGAAATGATAATTTTAGCTACATAGAGTTAAATAAAACACATTTATTATTATTATTTTTTAAATATATCTTTATTGATCTCAGAGAGAGGAAGAGAGAGGGAGAGAGAGAGAGAGATGGAAACATCAATGATGAGAGTCATTGATTGGCTGCCTCCTGCATGCCCCCAACTGGGGATCGAGCCGCCTGCAACCCGGGCATGTGCCCCGACCGGGAATCGAACCGCGATCTCCTGGATCCTAGATCAATGTTCAACGGCTGAGCCACACCTGGCCGGGCTAAAACACATTATTAAAATTAATTTCACCTGTTTCTTTTTACTTTTTTAATGTGGCTACTAGACAATTTAAAGTGAAATGTATAGCTTGTATTATATTTCCATTGGACAGTGCTGATTTAAAGGTTACAACTGTCCCAAATGACCAATATGAGAAACACAGTGACTTAGGTATTTGCTTTTGACCAAATCACCTGTAATCATATATGTGGAGAAAGATAATTTTTTCAATAAATACTGCTCATGGTTCTGTTTTAAGCAGTGAGTTCACTAATCATAAATTCCTGTGGATGTATAGTTAGAAAAACACTTCTTTTTGTTTAGATAATATTTGTGTATTTACTATTATTAAATATAATTCTAAATGTAATTTAGAAATTACGTTTCTAAATATCAGTTCATTTTTTCCTTTAAGGAGATCCCTGGTTCATTCTCACTGCTCCTTTCCTTTCACCCTTTTCCCTTCTGTCCTCAAAAGAACTGAGTGAGGAGATTACTTTGCAGTTATATTTTTCCTTTAATAGGTTTGCTGATTTGCCATGAGACAGTAGGTTTCATTGTTTCTGATAAATGAAATAGGATAAGACAGGTTTGTTAAAATGTAAATATAAATTTCATGTTAAATTTCAAAGGAGGTTCAAGGAGAAAATTCTGTAGAGAGCAGTTAGGGTAATAGGGTGCAAGGCACATAATAAAGGATGCTTTCTAGGATGTTGGAAGGCAGTGACCCCTTCCTTGAGGTGTTTGTGAAGAGGAGGAGGCTTCTGGGCCCCTTGGTAAAGTATAAATCAGTGGACCAGGAGTCAGTATATAAGCATGTTTTTCAGTCCTTCCTAACCATGTGATCTTGCCTGAGTCACTGGCTATCAGTTCACAATAGTCCCTACTGCTGTGCGTCACTCTCCTGGACTCTCCCTCGTGTGCTTTAGAGTTGTGATGTTTACATGCTTGCTTACTTGAATCTCTGTGATCTTTTCTAAGCTGGACTGCTTGTTTTGAAAGATTCCTTATCTTTGTCCACAGATAATTTTAAGAACTGGAAGAAGCCTGTGCATACTCTGCAAACTGACCAGCCTCAGTCTCCTTATTTGTTAAGTCGGAGGGTTAGATTAGATACTTAGGTGTTCTTTTCAGCTCTAAATGTTGTTTTCTTCTAGGTACAGTGTTGAGAGTGAGAAATTAGGAGATTGATTCATGTATCTTCTAGAGGTCTGATATAGTTCATAGGGATAGTAAAGCCTTATTAATTGATGTAATATTGAATTTTACAGTCATTCTGATATTGTAAGGCAGTTTTTTCTTAGAATATATTCAAGTTTTTGGAATAAGACACATATGTAATAAATACACCTAACCTAAGAGGTAGAGCTTTTTGTTGATACATTTTTATATCCTTTCTTTTATAGTGTCCTGCTATAGACTATACTAGACACACACTTGATGGTGCTGCATGTCTTCTGAATAGCAATAAGTATTTTCCCAGCAGGTAAACAAAACTTTTAAACATGGTATTAAACTTTTTGGATTTACTTTAAAAGATTGTTTTTAAAACTAAAACTAGATTCCTGGTTAATGCATTGTATTCTTTCAACTTTTTCTTTTATTCAAGTTTTGAAATTAGGGTTATGGTTAAACTAAAGGTAGCAGGACTTAGCTCCCAAACCTCATGGGCCAGTTCAGTCAAGAGTAGTCCCTGTTCAGTCATTGTCTAGGGCTCTCTCTTTGATGCTTTAGAGCTGGGATATGTACACACTTGCTTAGTTGAATTTCTGTGACAGCCTCCTCTTAGCATGCAGACTTTCTTAGTTGGACTGCTTGTTTTGGAAGGATTCCTTATCCTTGCCTGTTACAGTTCTTATCAAATAAGATCTAGGAAGAAGCCTGTGTATACTGTAATGTATTATTGGTGAGGTTTGTGACTAGTCTTTTATTCTATTAAGATATTTGTTACCAGGTTGATCGATTTGGAAATTTTATTTCTCCCCAAATATCATTAACTCCAAAGAGCTCAGTTAAAGTATGTAAAAAATACTGGGTTTTGCCTCAGTATCCTATATAAATTAAAAAAAAAAAAAAAGAATATTAGAAATATGCAGGCAATTTTTATTTCTCAAAAAAAAAATCAAGCTCTATGGAATAAAATAATTCCTTTTAGTAGTTTTAATCATCTCTAGAGAACAAAGTATTAATGTTATATGTGTATGTTTTAGTAAGTTTTGATTTGCCAGGGATTTGTTTTAATTGCATTAAACTGTAATGTTTCAAAACTATGATACTGAATTTCAGAGGCACTGTGGTTACATAGAAAGTACACTGTCTCAGGAGTGAACAGGGTTTCTAGTCCTGCTCTTGCCACTTACTAGCACTTTGACCTCGGACTGGGAACTTATTTTCCCTAGGTGTCCGTTTTCACACTTGTGAAATGAAGAGATTGGAATACTGTATATTATTCCTAAGATCTGTCCAGCTCTATGAATCTTTGATTTCTGTTTCTAGGGTTAGCATAAAGGAATCATCTGTAGCAAAACTAGGATCAGTATGCCGTAGGATTTACAGAATATTTTCACATGCTTATTTTCATCATCGGCAGATATTTGATGAATATGAAGTAAGTGTATTTTACGAATTACCCTGATGCATTCTTATCAGAATGACAATAATATATGCTGATGTTATGCCTCTTTTTTTTGTTTTGTTTAGTAAATTAAAATAACACTTTTTTCTTCTTCTCTACAGAATGAAACATTTTTGTGTCATCGGTTTACTAAATTTGTGATGAAATATAATTTGATGTCCAAGGATAACCTGATTGTACCAATTTTAGAAGAGGAAGTTCAGAATTCAGTTTCTGGGGAAAGTGAAGCATGAAGGGAATCATATAGAAAAAAATGTACTGATCACATAATTAACAGTAATTATGTACTGTATATATATCATTTTAGACACATCAATCATGTATCCATATTATAGCCTCTTTGTTTAGTATAGGTTTTTGTATGCTGAGTGTTGCCTTTTAAAATGGGAAATACTTTTTAAGTTATTCATGAGCTGTATATTCACCAGTGTGGCACTCATGGTTTTTAAATAAGATTAGTATTATCTGTTTATAATGCCTGTTAATAAAAGAATTTACAGTTTGGTAAAATTGCTGCTAAACAATCATTGGATCACAATCCTCATCAAATAAACCCATCTATAAAAAGATGAGTGAGCTTGAGGTTTCGAACAAGCCATTTACTAAAGAAATAGTAATGTTTTCCTTTGGTTTTACCCCTGAGTTTAGATAGTCTAGAAAATTCTGTAGTACATAATTTAGTCTTAACCGTTAACTTTTCAAAAATGAGATAAAAGTGTTTTAAAATTCTGTGTATAGTTTTTGATATACATATATGATTATGTGTATATCCAAATATAAATCAAATGAAGCATTAGTAATACTGAAATAATCTTAATACTATATAAAGTAAATTCTAGACCCACATACTTGGAAAGGATTACCTTTTGCAAAAGTGGACTGTTACATACAAGATGGTGATAATGAGGTGCATAAATGATGCCATTGGACACCTACCCTGTCCTTCTCATTTCCCTTCCCTCCTGCCCCAAACTACATTAGTTGAGAAGCTTTTCACCAGACTGTGATCTAGTGGTGGCTTATACCTATTTATATTGTATTAATTGCTTACAGATTATACCTCATACTAGCAATTACACTACAGGAAAAATGTATTGGCATAGGCTCTTGCTTTTGTTTTGCAAAATTGTTCTAACTACTTGGAAACATTTTAAAAATAGTTTGACTCTGTCTGTTAGTAATATTAATCTTTTTATCTAACCATCAAGGCAGCATTTAAATTGAGTTGAAAAATATTGTAGTATTTATTTTATGACCCCTCCCTACAAAGTTTATGTTTGAATTTTATGCACATGCGATATTTTTTGCAATAATTTACAAGTTCCAGGGGTGTTGATGATAGGTCATACATATTTTGGACTTTGTTAGAATTCAGTGTCTTAATAAGGATTCAACTGCAGATTTTGCAATCTTATAATTTACTGAATGCAGTTTTTAACAAGGCACTGGAGTTCTGATTGCTAAACTGGTTGTAATGAGGCAATAAGATAGGCTGAAAAAATGTACATGTAGTGAAGAAAATATATAAATCCGTCTATTGAACAGTTAACAAACATGGGCAACTTTTTTTTTCATTTAAAATGGTTATTTTGAAATGGAGATGAAAATGTATTCATCTTGTTCTTTTCAAATTTGAGGAAAAATTTTATATCACATAATGAGACAAGTCTGTACAGCAAAAATTTGGGAAATGGTAGCATACTGAGAGTGTGTGTATATCTACTTATGCCTTTCCAAGCCTGCCAGTATATTTGATTTTGAAACAGTGCTGTCCTAGCAGCCAGTCATTACCCCAACCCACAACTATCTTTTAAGAAGTTTTATTCTCATAGTGAAAGGAATGTTGACTTTGAAATTATACATTTATATTAATGTCACTATAAACCATTAATTTAAGCATAAATTAATTGGATATATTAATTTTTAAACAAACTTGCTAAATATTGAGAGACTAAACTACTAAGTAAATTATATACAGCAATGTAGCCGTTCTCATCTAGACGGTGTCTCAATGGATTTCTGTTGCAGTGGCTGGGATTGGCAATCTGGCTATAAGTATTTTGAAACACATTTTGAATAATATGGTTTAGTGTTAATGGGGAAATAAAATATGGTTTTTTAATTATTCACTCCATCTTCCCTGTGCTGTGTTTGGAATTGATCATAAACACACACACACACACAAAAGGAAGCATCAGTTTGCAGTCTTGCTTTTGTATTCATATTGACATCTCCTTTATACTCATTGGATGTGAAGTTGACTCACTGTACTAGGCAGACCTGAATGAAACAGTTACTGTTTTCCCTTAATATTATTTACAGACTTTTGAAAATATACACATATGTACCTAAGTGACCCTGGCAAACCACTGATTTATAAAGTGTTCTAAAAAGCGGGGAATAGAAAATTTGCAGTTCTGTGTAATGAGGATGTTAAGCTCCACTTTTGTTTGGATTATCCACTATAAGTCCAAAAGTTAAAATTTTCTTCCCATAAAATTATTTTGAGTCCTAGTTGGTTTTTCCCAGTGGTTAGAGCATCGGCCCTTGTACTGAAGGGTCTCAGGTTCAATTTTGGTTAAGGGCACGTACCTCGGCTGCAGGCTGGATCCCCAACCCTGGTGGAGGCGTGTGTGGGAGGCAACCAATCAATGTGTCTCTCACATTGATGTTTCCCTCCCTCCCTCCCTCTCTCTCC